AAACTAAATATTAGAAAATGACAGTTAAAAATATTTTTAGTATATTTTTTCTTCTAATATAGAATAACATTTAATGATTTTAGTTTACAAGACATTCATTCACACAAATATTTACATCCACATCTATAAATATTTACAGAAACCTGTCTGAAGAGATGTTGAGCAAGTAACCACTCAATTAGTAGACAGATAAGTATTCCTTTTGTTTAAAACAAACACTTTATTATAAAGTGAAGTTTTATTGTGTGTGGAGGGGATGTTTTGTTGACAGTTTTTGGATGGGTGACATGATTAGGGGATGTTATTGCAGACAACAGTAGCAATAATTTCTAAAATAATTTTAGCAAGTAAAAGGGGAATGACAATTTATATTACTTTTTACATTAGCAAAAAATTACGTATTGACAATTATTGACTTGCATAAAAAAAAATTTATAAAAAACAAAATTATTAAAACTGACAAAAAAAAAAAAAAAATTACCAATATTTCATTGACAAACAAGAGTCTTGTTGATTTTAATAAAAAATTTTCAACATATAAATTCTGCTACCCACAAACCATGATTAATGATACTGACTTGATTTAAAAGCTTGAAAATCTAACATGCTTGCATGCAATATATTTAATGACCATCTGTTAAATAGATTATTTAATAGTAAATAAAAATTGTTTTAAGGTTACCTTCTCTAAATAATCTAGCAGACTTAAAATCCAGATATTTCAGATATTTTTTCACTTTCCTCCTACTTCTCTTTCTGAAACCCCATTATTTTGAGATCAAGGAAAGTAAAAACTAAAAAATTTTGTTGGTGCCATTTCACTACTAAGAGATATTTATGCCTTTTCATACAGTCATCAAGACTAAAATCTACCTTTTGTTTTTATTTTTGTCTCTTGACTAGAATTTATATTAGCTATTTAGTGTTAACAATGCAAAATTTTGACTGAATTTGATAAACTACAAAGAGTTTTTTTTCTTTCTATGTTTGGCATTAAGGAGTATACAAAATAGCCAAGAGCCAAATGCTATTTGAAGACAAACTAATTTGGTTAAAATCTGTGAGTAAAAGCACAAGACTTGAAGTCACAAATATATGTAATCAATAAACAAATGAGTTTCCAAGAATACAAACTGTTAACCTGGAAATTGCTATTAACTCCAGGAAAGTTGGGAGTGTTGTTAGCACTTCTTACTCAAAATGATTTGATGACACTCCTCAATTATCTTAATGTATATCTGATTGTCACCTTGAGATTTCTGTTAATATCACATTTATTTGGACTTACAAGTTGAATAGTATGCAATTCACCAGTGAATTGCACTGATTTGATCCATTGACAATTTGCTTTTATAAGAAACAATGTTCTATCAAATTGTTTCAAACCTCGTTGATAGCTTCAAGATTAGTTAAACATTAGTCAAGTTAAACTACCAATGTTGACTGCAAGACGACAGTCAAGATACCTGGTAATGATGAAAATTCAAAAAGACAGTGGGGGAAAATGATAGATGGTTAAAAACACAGATGATGTGCTTATAATTAGAATCCAACTATACTGAGGAGGAAATATAAAATAAGTGCACACACTTTTAAAAAAAAAAAAAAAAAAAAAAAGTACATTGAAATATTTTGAAATAGAAAAGAAACTCCAACATTCCTTTTCTTTTGGGAATTTAAAATAATAGGTAGGTAATGAGCTGAGGTAATTATGCATTATTGTAGTATTTTTCATTTATGACTGGGAGAATAAATTACACTTTAATTAGGGAAAATATTTTTAAATAAGACTATAAAGAATTCTACAAATTAGTCAATACAATTAAAGAACAATTACTGGCAAATCAAAAAGAAAATCCTTCATACAGTAACTCAGGAATTTGAAGTCAATATTTGCAAGCAAATCAATGCCAACTTTCAAGCTTTCTATTTTGAACATTAGAACCTAATAAAACTGAAGTTACATGCTTGAATAACTTGAAGATTTTGGCTTCTTTTTCACAAAGTATTAACATTATATTCAGGGTTAATTCCCCCCCCCCTGCATAATCTAACTCTGCCCATCAGGAATAATACAAATTATGGAAAGTTGTATTACAATATTTATGTCTTTAGAAAATAAAATTAACCTTATTTTTATTTCAAGAAAAACATTTAAAATTGAGACAATCTTAAAGCACATAAATATTTACTAAAGTTAACCTAATCTGGCACAAGGCTAACCAGGAAGAGATTGGAATATATTTCTACCATGGAAAAAAAAAAAAAAAAAAATCAGCATTTGAAATCCTGTTTTGTATGCCAATCTCCAGCACCAGTGAGAAAATACCCTATTCCTACCCAAGACCTAATTGTAGCACTTGCTGTAGCATGCAATTCTCACTAGGTACCCAAATGTAAAGCTTATAAAAAGAATAGTTAGATTCGATATGTTTTGTCTCAAAATTTCATCAAAAAAAAAAAAAAAAAATCATTCCAACTTTTTTTTTTTTCTAACTTGAAGGAATTTTTATTGCAGCAAAAATAATTTGCTAAAGGACATGAGACTAAGACAAAAAATTCAAAATATAAATTTAACTATTGCCAGAAGATGTGTTTTTTTTTTTTTTTGTTTGTTTTTAATTATCAAATAGCAAAAAGAAAAATTCTCACAGAATTAAAGCAAGAAACTTATTTGAAAGTAAAAATGGTAGCATTGACTTTTGCATCAAATTTCCATTTAATTCATAAATGGTAATAAAAAAATATTTTTTAAAATAAAAAAATTATTCACAAAAAAGGTAACCAATTTTGCCTTCCCATCCAGCACTGTCCACAAACGACATTTTTCTATATTCCAATGTATGCACTACCTATTCCCGTGGGGAGTAAATTTGGATAGTATATGCGTGTGTGTGTGTGTGTGTTATATATATATATATATATATATATGCATGTGCCAGATTGTAAGGAGGAGAAGAACCTCTATTACGAGGTCAGGAAAAAGGAGCAAAATGAAAACTAAAAATGTTGCACATTTCAGTGCTACAGAATCAGCAGCAGCACAAAGATGATGAAAGCCAAATTATTTGACAATGCACCAGAGGTGGGGTTAATTTATTATATCATAAAAAAAATTATCAACAGAAACCTCCATTGAATAAAAGGACTACACATACACACACACACAAAATTGATCCACATTTTAAGAGAGAAAAAAAAAATGTATTTTACTTTAATATTGAAACTTTTTCTCTAAGAAAAAATTGCCTCTATAAAATCACAGCTTTTAATGGCATGTTAAAACTCATAACATATGAGTGATGTAGGGCTTGCAAACAAATTTCATTTTTTTTTATTTCACAAATTTTGAGTTTGTAATAAACTAAAATTAAATATTTTGTTCGTGTTCTGTGTAACAAATGAAAAAGAACAAAAAGCAGGTTTTATGTTTTTAGAAAAATTCAATAAAATGTTAATTTGTTTTCAGTAATTCAAAAAATCTTACCAAATACTTTTAAAATTGGAAATAAAAAAAATCAGATTATGAAAAATGCTTTCAATTAGTTTATCATATTGCCCCTGACCCCCAGATAATTTTCCCAATTTACATAAAGGTAGGACTTGACAGAATTACATAAGCAAATAAAGCATTTTATCAGTCTAACATTAGAGAGTAACTTTGTTAATCAATAAACAAAAATTATTAGTCAAATCTAATTAGCATTTGTGTATAATGAAATAATTCAAGGATTGTTTTATTTATTATTTCAGTAAATAATAAATTTTTCTTTATTGGAGAAGAGACTAGTTTTTATCTGCCTTCACACTTTCAAATCTACTTGTGGAATCATTGCCAAGACAATTATCTAAAATCTTAGCAAAAACAAGAAATAAAAGTATTAAATCTTCAACTGGTGCCATCAACAGAAACAACTCATTTCAATGTGTCTACATTTGCGTAAGCATTAATTAAATCCAATAAAGAAATTTGACAATGGAACAATCCAGATCTCAAGTTGATTTTGATGAGAATCTTTTGCTCAGATTATGCTTTTCCCAGACTGACAAGAACAGGATAGGGAGAGATCCAAAATTTTAATTTATTATCGAGTATTGTATTTGAAACTAAACTAACTTCAATATTAGTCATGTTAATTTTAATTCTTAAACTTATTTTAAAAGCTGCCTTTTAAAAATGCAAATATATAAATTTTTCCACACTTGTTTCAATGACATTTCAATTTGTATGCAAACTTAACATTTTCATTGCAAAGATTTTGTTAGAACTCAAAACTCACTGGATCATTTCAGACTTTTGAGGCGTCTTCATAGCAAGACATTTTCAACATTGAATCCTTTCAACTAAACTTGAATGTATTAAAAACCTTATGTATTTAAAAACGTTCTAAAAACCATTTGTGGCCAAAGAGTAAAAAACCACTTAAAATTGTTGGCCAACCTGAGACTTCAAAAATAAAAACCAAATCTAAAAGGTGAAAGCAATTGTCATGCCCTTAAGAGAAAATTGTCTTCAAAACATTCATTAAAAGAAATAAAAAATAAAAGCAAAATGTCAAAGAATGCTTTTGCAATGCAAAGTTGTATTATGATGATGATAATGATGATGATACAATGATATTCTAAAATGGAAGGATTCTATCACCCCAATATACCAACATATACAAAATAAACTATAAACCATTAGGTGTGGGGGGAGGGGTGTCATTAGAACCCTTACAGATCCAATATTTATTGAACATTTTCATTTTAACATAATTATATAACTAATTCTAATCAAAGATGAAAAGAGTTACCCATTTTATTTTTAAAAATATATTGTGGATGAGTGGAGAGTCACAAACAAGTTAGAAACCATTCTTAAACTGGGCACAAGGCCAATACTATCAACTCTTATCTGGAAAAAAGAAAAAGAATTATACATGTAGATGAAAATGGAGGTGATAGAGAGAGTCAATTTGCTTGTGGCTACTGCAGTCATGTGCAACCTTTTGCAATGGTTAGATGCTCTCTCGTAGATCTTCTTTGAGCCAAGTTGGTGCTGGTTGGTTTAATTTCATTAACAGTTTAGATAATGCAACATTGTGTCGACGGAAGAACATTTTCAGATATTTCTGGGCTGCTTCTTCCATTGGTGGGTAAATTCTGCCTTTGCCTGGCCCAAGGCACTTAATAAAATCAGACTGTAGGACTTGGCAGTAGAATTTCTTCTTAGAGTCATATCTGTGTTTCAAAAGAAAAAAAAAAGAAAAAAGGTTTTCATGCAATGAAAAATAATAAATTCATTGGTAAAAATGATGTTTTTTTTCCTTTCTTTAATATTCAGATTAGGAACTGTCTTAGAAAACTATAAAGCTGATCAAACTATTGAATATTGGATCAGATGTGTGTCAAAGAATTTATTTAGTTGATCAAATAGGGCTTTAGATTCATAAGTGTTGAAAAAATACTTGTAGAATGAAAACAAAATCTCAATTCATTTATAAAAATTAGCAATTCCTATAAGTAATAAGCTGACAATTTCTCAGTACTTCATTGCAATAGAAAGAGAGCTGACGGGTACAGCTCAACTCAGGACATTTCTATGTATATGGCTGTAACCAATGTGTGTGTGTGTGTGTGTGTGCGTGTGTGTGTGTGTGTGTATATACACACACACACACAAACACAAACTTGGAGGAGTAATTAAAATTGTGACTCACTAGTGCTTTCAGGTGTGAAAGAATTTTAACTTGGAGTAGAGAGAGGATTTCTTCATTGCACTAAGATAAATATGGTTATGAGTAAGCTCTAAGGTAAAATAAAAGAACCCAGGTATTTTCTGCTATCAAGGATGGGAGTGGGGTTGTGTCATATTTGTGCTAAATAACTACACAATGACATTTGTCTTCAATCTTATGAGAATGAAACTTGCTGGGAGATGACTTAATAAAAATTAAATTTTGTCTCAAGAGGAAAAATTAACTGGCCATGTTTAACCTTTGAACTCAAAAAAAAAAAAAAAAAAAAAAAAAAAAAAGTGCCAAAAAGGATGGTTTTTCTCTTGACACCAACATTATTGCATACTCCCTCTGCAATGTTTGTTTTAAAATGATGTTATATATATAGCATTTTAATAACAGCAAAAATATTTAGTTTCTAGATTATAAAAATATATAAAAAATAAATTATTTCAGTTTTCATATTTACTTCTTTACAAAATGTTAAATAATAAATATTGCATTGTAGCTGGTTCACATATATTTATAATCTTGTAAATAAATCTAACTACTAAACAGTGTCTAACATTTGTTATTAAAATTCTAAACATTCAGTAATAGCCATGTTAAGAGAAAAATTGTCTTTTTTTTTTTTTTTTTAAACAATGTTTTTTTTTTTGTGGGCTCGAAGATTAAACTTTGTCAATAAACTTGTCTCTACAAAGATTTAAAAAAAAAAACAAAAAACAAAAAAACCCTCAAATAAACATGGCTGTATTCATTACTTACCGCAACAACCTTCTATAATCAACATAAGGGTGAACTTCAATGAATTTCTGGAGTTTATCCATGACTAAAGGTGGATCTTCTTTAACTTCTTGGCCATCTAATATCAGCAGCTGAAATTTAAAAATAAATAAATAAACCACTTAAACTGCAGATGAAAACTTTTACAGCAAAACCAGATATTCCTTTTTAATCTAAATATAGCAAGGTGTTAAAATCTACATAGAAATTTTACATTCACCCAAAAGACTACAATTGAAATAAAAAAATATTACTAAAATAAATCTTGTCAGCAGACCCAATAGAAAACATTTTACTGATTTTTTTTTTTATTTAACAAATATTTCAAGTTTTATTTTCAATAAAATCTTTCACTATTAATAACTGCTCCTGCATCTTAGTAGCTTTTTCACCTTGTTTGGGGTGAAATGAAAAAAAAAAAAAAAGAAAAGATTGCCAGAAATTACAAAGAGATAATTTAAAACAGAATAGATTGTGATATCTTACTTTCATGCACTTTATAAAGAAAGACTGAAAGCAAAAGTGACACTCACCTGTGACGGAGGGAAGTAGTCAAGCCAGCGCTCAAGATGTTGAGCATATATTGAGGGGTTCAAACATCGATTGCGCAGTTCCCGCTGAATCTTTGGACTTCCTTCTCCAGCAGTAATGATTTCATAAAATGTGAAATTCAAAGAAGCAGGATTCTTGTGGGCACGAGCATGCTGAAGAAAGGAAGAGGATATATTTTATGTGTATATTACTGTGAAATAATTTGGATACTGGAGGAGTTTAAAAGTATTTTCAATGTACTTCTCTTCATGTAAATATTCAAATTTTATGTGCTTTTAAGTAGAAAACTATAATTTTTCAAAAATTTGTTTTGCTGTAGTGTGAATAAAAGTTTATGAGATCATTTTCTTTTGTAGATTTTCAACAGACATTTACCTTTAGATCATAAAGTACAGTTTAACATGTTATCAAGAAGAGATGTAGTGTTTGCTTGTTTCATAAGTAAATTCCATTGTATGTTCAATGTTGTTTATTTACAAAACTGTCATTATCAATAGTAAAAGATTGCTATAAAAATCAAAGCAGCAAACCTTAAAGTAACAACAATTGTCTAGTACCAATTATTGCTAATGACATGCAAAATTCTTGCAAAAAAATCAAATAATTGTCAGATTTTAATTAAACTTTAAGGACTTATTCAAAAATGAAATTATTTTTTAAATGTTTCTTTTCTGGTAAAAATATACTTTTTTTTTGCATCTGCTACACCCTCACACACTTGTTTAATTTTATGAAATTCTTTTTTGTGCTGCTTAATGTTTATATTTGTTCTAACCAGAAATCTTTTGAGAATTTATCAATTTCTTTTTGTAAAACAAAACCCCCAGTTACCAAAAATCTGCTCCAAATTATAAAATAAAAAAAATCTAATAAAACAAAGACATTATTTAATTAGAAAATCTTTTAATTGCTTTTATGCATAAAATATATTATGGACACTACTGTTTTAAGAAAAAAGTTTTTCCATGAATAATGAATTTTTACAAGAATTTATTTTTTTAATTTTAATTAGAATAATTAATAAAGTTTTAAATTCTGCATTAATTTGTGTCAGTTATGTGATAATGTTATTAAGTAAAAACTATATTTACTAATTATAAATGAAAGGGCTTATTACAATTCAGTGACCCCAATATTTTAAAAGTATTTTAAATTTGTTTGTATGTAAATACACCCTGTTCCCCATAATGCACCACTGACCAGCATATGTAAATAGTCAAGCCATAATGATACACATGGCCTGAAGATTGTGTTCAAGCATGAAGCAGACTGTCGACACTCAGTGTTCCACACACACACACACACACAAATTATCAGTTAAAAAAGAAAGCAAAAGACTATCATAAAGATAAACACTTCATGTAAAGATAATTGAATTTGAGAGTAAAGGTGAAGGAATTGCAGTCACACACCTAGAAAGGAAAAAAATAGCTTGGTTTTGATTCATTTCTTTCAATATTTTTCATCCTATGATGTACTTTAAAATTTATTTACCTTTCTATAAATTTTATGCCAAAATAAGTCAGCCAATATTATGTGCAAGTCAGAATAAATTTTCAAGCAACTTGAAATAATCAGAGACAAAGCCTAGTCTTGTTGCCAGTCATCTTTATCATTCTTAACCACTTGCAATCAGAAGGAAATGATTAAATGAGATTGATGTACATTTGGCATAATTACAGTCTAGGCTGTGATATTGATTGTCAGTCATAACAAGCTGAGTATCTATTCATTATGAACCTACCTGATACCAAGAATAAGCCCGCTTCACCGGGTCAAGCAGGATAGTGATAAGTTTAACATCAGGAATCAATGCTGCTACTCTCATTGGGGCCATGTAGTTGTCAAAATAATCGGCTGTTTTCTCAAAGAACATTATATCTGTCTGGTTGGGTCTGTTATATGTAAATGAACTCATGTACCTAACAAACAAACAAAAAAAAAATCATATAAATCCAAAATAAAAAATCATATTGTAATTTTCTCACACTGTAATCATCTTGATTGAATTTCTGTTATTAAGCATTCTCATTATTTATATTTTTTTTTTAATTGTATTTCTGCTATATTTTTTCTAACTCCTGAGTCACTATTTATTGCAAGCTGCACAGATCTCTGGCAGCTTATCTTACTATGAAATGTCTTACTGATTAGGCTACAAAAGCTAAACAACAAGAGTCATTTATCCACAGAGCTTTAATCTTTTTATATTCTCTTCAGTAATATTTAAAGAATTTAGAATTGTTTTGTATATGAATTAACAATTTCTACATTTCAGTATCAAACTACAACAAAAATCAATAAAATAGAAAGTTTACTAGCACATTGCAAAGAAAAAAATTAAATAAAAATAACTGCAATTCATCTTTTTATTATGAAAAAAGAAATTTAAAGGATTTTTTTTTCAAAATGACCATTTTCTGATGTCATACTTACCAGTCAAGACCCTTGTTATAATAATGGTCACTGCTAAAGAAATGGAGTTCTTCAAATATAAGAGGCCGTTTAACATTACTTCGTATTGAGGGATGCATATTTAGAAATGTGTAAATAGCAGTTGTGCCTGGAGAAAAAAAATAATAAAATCATTAGAATAATCAATTTTATTATCATTTTTTGAATTAAGTAAAACTGCCACAAAGTTATTAAATCATGCACATGTGATGTTTTCATAAAAGAATTATAATATTTATAGAAGCTGCCAATTATATATTATTATTTTTGGTAAGAATTTCACGCAAGAGAGACATTCCAAAACTACATATATATTTATCAATGTCATTGATGTCAATTTACAGAGATTTGTACTCTGGTCTTATCCCACCATTTCAGTTATCTGCAGTCAAACCCCAAAAATAAAAAGAATTTATAAGTTTTACTTAATAATGTCCCAAAGTGCAAGTGTAATGGATGCTCACAATGTAGAGTGTTTATTCTTTACTTTACCAAAGCCATAAAGTCTTTCCATTAAGTGAAAATGTGAAAATTCTAAACTTAATAAGGAATGAAAAACAATCATATGCTGAAGTTGCTAAGATCTACAATAAAAAAATTTTCTATTACAAAACCATATATTGTTATAACAATGTCATTTTAATAATTACTGTTGTTAATCTTTTATTGTGCCTAAATTAGATGTATATGTAAATTATTTATGTAAGTATCAAAAAAAACAAAAAAAAAAAACATAAGTTCAGTATCATTTGCAGTTTCAGGAGACTACTGTAGAGGCAAATCTATTTAGACAATCTGAAAACTTGAGACACTACCAGTCAGTATGAATACATTGTACTTTTTCTGTCCACCATCTTTCAATTACATATAAAAAAAAATGACAAAGAAGAAAAGGAAAAAGAATAATTTTGGATTACTAATCCTGAAAGCCACTTCAATAAAGTCAATCAATGTAAAGTAATATTTTGGATGGTGTTAGCATTCTTACCTGTTTTCTGAGGCCCAACTACAATAAATTGCGGAAGAGTGTGGCAAGTCTTCTTGGGAGACCAAATTGCCATATGTCTTTTATCATGGCAAGGATTCTGAAAAAGCAAAAATTCAAAGTTTTGCTAAATCTTGTCAGTAAAAATATTTTTACAATTTTGACAATTCAAAACTAAAAATTAACAGAAAACAATTTTTTTTCTATTGTTTGCCATTAAATTAATTTTTGATGGTCTGAATCTCCAATGGCAATGAAGTAGTTTTATGTAGCTTTCATTTACATACAAAAAACAAATGAAAGATTCCAAAAGGGAAAATTTGAATCTGAAGGCAAGAGAAATCACAGTATTATTATTTTAGAAAAATATTATTTGACATGCATAGCCATGTTTTGTTCTTGAGGCAGGGTAGAAATTAATCTTTCCTGACAAAGAATTTTGTGATAATAATTTGAGGCAAGGTTTTTACAAGGCTGAGTACTCTTTCTGACACCCAACTTGGACATTCACAGTAGTCCATGAGTGTTTTTATTAAGTCCCCACCATATATATATATATATATATAATTATTTATTTAAAAATATGATTCCATATTTTTAAATAAATAATTATATTTATGCTCTATTTTTGTATCGGGCACTATTTTTTAAAAATAATAACTAAAATACTAAGGGACTTTGGATTATTTACATAACCAGTTCCTTCATATTTTCTATATATTTTCACACACACACATATATATATAGTTTAAAATCATATTTTAAGTGTTCAATCATAATTTTCATTAAAGATTTTTAAACAGAACTTATTTTAACACGCCTGTTATAATATAACTAAAATGGTGTAGTTTAATAAATAATTGGAAGAAAAATAAATATTGTTATCCTTATATTGAACCTACTAATTTAAAGTAAATATTGAAGCAATTATACATACCACCCAAATGGGATCAATTTCATCTGAATAGGTAGAAAAGTAGATGTCAGCAAGTTGTTTTGGTGGAACAGTAAATAATCTGAAATGTGTCCAACACTGCAGGAATTTTATTACACTCTCAAAAGTGTAAAGAGCGAGTCTGTCACTTCCATAATTGCACATGTGAGTCATAAAAATATTCACCTGAAATAAACAGATACAAAAGTGATTTATTTTCACAAAGCTCTTTATAAAAAAAAACAAAAATACTAGTACTTTTTAAATCAAGTTTCTTAGCATTAGAGACCAAACTATGAAGAAATTCTAATAATACAGGAGAGTTATATTCCCAAAACAAAGAAGACATTTTTGGAAAGACAATTAAGATAGATGATTTTTTTTGTTTTTTTAATAGTTATATATGATTAAAAAAATAACAGCTAAGATTAACCCCAAAAGAAAAAAAAGCCTATAATAAACTAAGAAAATTATGATACAAGGAAAGACAAATGTTTGAAAAGTTATTACTTTTAATAACACATCAGTTTATGATCTCTATATGAAACAGCAAAGGTACATGGTAGGAAAAACACCAAAAACAAAATTTTCCAACCACAAATTAAAACTACAGTTAACCATAAATACTAATGCTAAAAGCTCTTGTAGTTCCCTTTATGATAATTGCACTACAAATGACACTTGTCAAAATTTAGACAAAACAAAGTTTAATTTTTCCAGTCATTTCCTAGAAATCTTTTTAAGATGAAGGCATTGGGGCCATAGTTATAAAATAAATTCATTAGCAATAATTTGCTATTCTAATAACGGAAACGTCTTTCCTTTTATGACAAGTCATGATTTAACAATTTATATCAAAAAGAAAACCAACCTTATTGTAGAGAAAGGTCTGAAAGAGTTCTCCCCCTTGAATACTAGTGTCCAACTTTTTACGGCCGCCAGGATAACGATCCATAAACAAGTTGTGAGTGTACAGGCCACATATTTGTCGAGGTAATACCTGAAAGTAAAATAACCGAATTAAAAATTAACGATTGCCTAAATGTTTTTATGTAGGTCAATTTCCTTTTTACATGAAAGTAAAATCACCAAAATTATGCAGACTGAAAACTTGTAAAAATAAAAACCAACAACCAATAAATGGGTGGGGAATTATGACTTGTTAAAAAGCATAAGACTAAGAAACAAAAATTCTTGATCTTTGTGAAACTTAGAAAACTCCAGAAAATTAGCCAGATGCAAGGTTTTGTGATAAATTGATATCTGACATATAGACAGTGAAAGATTGAATTTTAAAGAAGGCACATCATATACAGTTTCTGCTATTTTCAAAGGAAGCAATAAATGAAAGTACAATCCATTTTGTCTAGACAATTTTAAATTCGTATTATAATGTAAATTTGTTTTTGCTACAATGATGATTCCTGTACTTGATTTATATTTTGTGTAAATCTACAACTGACAAAATTATAACTCCAACAAATTAATCTGATCTTAGCCAGAAAAATCAATACAAAATGCAAGATCTTTAACTGTATGATGGGCTTTTCTAATATTACTGTCTTGTCAAACAGAAGTCCATTTTAAATTTCTTTGTCACATCTGAATTGTGTTAAGTCTTCATAAAGCATCAATCTAAAATAGTTCAACAGCAATTAACAAAACTCAAAACAATAAAACCAGACATGATTGTAAACAAAATAGATTTGTCCCCTAAGAATAATTACAATACACATTTGAAATTTTTAAAAATTAAATGAAAGTTAGAAAATATAACAAAAAATAGGCATCATTTTCTGTCTAAAACTTTACAATTTTCAAAATATATTTGTTTTAAAACTTCCAGAAAAAAATATTTTGCAATAAAAACTTCCTTAAACTTGATACCAACTCTACTTGAGTCAGCCTCGTCATATATAATGACCAAAGTTGATAATCACTTCTCTTTGGTCAATATAATTATATAGAAGTGGTTACTTCCTTCTATGTAGTTTCAACATCCTTTGGATATAAAAACCCTGAAGGCACTGATATGAACAAACACTACAAAGTCTTTGGTTTTAATTAACAGACAGACTTCAATTTACATAGATTATTATAAGAGCTGTTATTGAAAAATCATGCATGATATTTGTTTAGAAAACTTTTCTTTTTTTAAGTATATAAACAAAAATGTGATTGATTTGCAGGTTTCTTTTTTTTTCTTTTTTTTTTTCTATTAAGCTTCTGTGATTATTGGTTTGTGGGATTCTCAATCCGTTCTTTGAGTCATTAAATCATTGATATCTGTTAGATTTAAAAGAATTAAACAAAATAAAATCTACAATGCAAAAAACAAATGACTACAAGTATAATCTATGCCCAATGACTCTTGAAAAAGGGGATTGCCTATACAGGAAATTAAAAAAAAAAAAAAAAAAAAAAGTCAGTTCATCATCTGAGAAAAAAGAAAAAAAAAAACATGGGAGTCAAATAGTGATGAATTGTTCAATATAATAAATGTGACCAAAACCCAAATAAACAACCGAATAAAAATATACTAAAAGGTCAAGAATTAAAATAATGAATAATGCACAAGAAAGGCAGTAGAGATAAAGTGGGGAGGGCGAGGCAGTGGACAAAAGGAAAACATTTTATATATGAATAAGGGTACAGTCCACATGTTCAAGAGCAGTGAAAAAGATAGAGAGAAAAATTGTTGAGGATTGACCTTTTTTGTTTTAACCTCTTTCCCTTAACACTCACTTCCAGTGGGGACAAAACTGTTAAATAACAAAAGGTTTCAAATTCTTTTCAAATGATGACAATGCTTTCTTTAAAATGTCACAAAATGATTGAAGAAAGACAAACAAAGTATTCTTCCTTGGAAAAATCTGTGATTGAAGCAAACATACTTTGAACTGGGTTTCAACATATAACTGATTGAAAGAAGGTTCAGCTGTAGGATACTTTGAGGAATGACTATAAAATCATCATCACCACCAAAGGAGGCAAGCCATGGTAGTTTAGATATGACACCTTCATACTATACCAAAATATACAAATACTGCTGGTCAATGTTAGCACAAGAAAACCTAGCATAAGTTCAAAATGGGTGGGTGGGGTTAGGCTTTCTTCTTGAATATACTAACAACTCACAAAGAGTATAGGTTTAAAACATCTGTATAGTGTAAGCCAACATTCATCAGATAATACCTGAATTTCAATTCTCACCATTCATGCAAGTGTCAAAAAACAAATAATCTACTGCTTATATCAAACCAAATTTGTGGTTAACCAGACACATTAGAAATACTCTTAAAGGTAACAACTATCCTGCAAGAATAACATCTGTAGAGACAAAAGAGTAAATAACAACAATTAAAAAAACTGCCAGTTTGTTTACCATAAGTAAGGGGTACATTTGAAATGATTCAAAAGTATCTGTAGTCCATATAACATCAAGACAGTATTCAAAAGCAGTTCAACTCTAAGAAATATCTCTCTCTCAAACTAAGCCCCTACCCACGAGCAAAATAAAATGTCCACTCTGTGTATTCCATCTCATGCAGTTGGAAAAGAAAAGGTAGTCACTAATCCACATGGATTAAAGTCAAGATAACAGAAACTTGAAATGGAAGATAAGTCAACTGAAAAAACCCAGTGCACATGTTAAGCATTAACAACCTCCTCAGTAGACCTAGCATAGCAATAAATACCATCCAAGAGCTTCTGATTAAGGAAAGAAAGGCAGTAAAACTTTCCACCACTTGAGTCAGACACTTAGACAATTCCAGTGTTTGAATAAAGTAGGGAGAAGGCTCTAAAATTACATCAATGGATTGTCCAAGAGACATGACAGCAGATTAAAGCATTGGTCAAGATTTATCTGGTTGCTTGGTAATTGTGAGTTCAATCATTAGATTTGGCAGTAAAAAGTCACTTGTTCAGTGGAAAAGAGATACAAAGATGAATAAAACTGGCAAGTATTGACGGACATACATGGAAAATAGAACAATAATCATCTACTGCCGCACCCTGCCCCCAAAGAATTGAATAAAGAGTTCAGTTCAAAATCCCAAGGTTACTTAGCTCAATGACAGATACTTGAAAAAGGTTGGAGTGTACACTACAGTCTTCTTCATGTGTCATAGGCAAGACATTGGGAATATTAAAAAGAAAAAATATATTCTTTTTTTTATCCATTTTGAGGATTGATTAAGTGGTTTATGCCTCAACTCTGTGGGTTATTTAAATTTTTGAAGGATGATGTTGTATATATCACCCAATGTGGTAATACAAAAAAAAAATGATTTCAATTATTTTACAGTTCAAAACTAAAATATACAGGAATAGAATTAGAAAAATATATTAATCAAAGATTTCACTAAACAGTGGTCCTAAAACTTAATACAAAATGATGGTAGTTTTTTTGGTTTTAGTTTTATCTGGCTCAAGGTGCTTTGTGGAATAAACTCCCAAGAAGATGCTTCCCCAATCACTACAATCATAATCTCATACCCACATATCTCCATGAACTTTGCCACTTAATCTGTAACCTCTACTTTGAGTGGCTCTTGGTCCTTTTACAGGGTGAACATTAAAAAAAAAAAAATAAAGGCATTTGTTGTACTGCACACATTACATGGTATCTTATTGTCTCTTCATACCATTCTATTTCAATGTTAGTTCTGGCTAATGTTCTCTTCTAATGCTTGTTAAGATTTATGGAGTGGAATACATCCCCCCCATACACATACAAATGCTAACAATTATAACAACTCTAACAAACTGAGAAAATAATCACTTAAAAAGAAAGCAGATTTGAAAGAATAACTCTTCATCATGTAAAGACTGAAAGGAAAAGGCAAAATGGTTAAGTGAGCCAGCAAATACTCAGCTTAAAAATGATTAAAATAAAAATGTATGTTAATTCTGAGGGCAGAAGAAAAGGTGTGAATTGGAGTAATGAATGCATTTTATCAAATTTAAGTCCTCACCATTACATATAGAAATGTACATTTATTACAGTAATGTTATACTTAAAACCAGATACCTATATTTTTATATAATAATTTCACACAGATATTTCTCCAAATTACATAAGTATTAACATTTTTTATACATAGAATCTTTAACTATATATTTGGGTACGAACATGTCAATTATAATACAGGTTTGTTTAAAAGTAATCAGAAAAGGACATTTTTATCTCTTCTTAAATCTTTAATAGTTTTTAGTGTCACTACAAGTATTGCTAAGTTGTAAAGGAAGGAACCTTCAATAATTGTGAAATGACACCAACTGCTCTTGAATAGACAAGTGCAAAATTTCAAAATTACAAAAGATTGTTGTATTCATGATGTAGAAAATTACATATAGACCTACAGAAATATGAAGGATTATTTTTGAAAGTTATCAAATATTTTCAGTAATTATTTTTAACATCTATAATGTATTTGGGCAGCAATTTTCCTCTTTACACAAGTTTCATAAAACACCAATGAAAGAAGTTTTTAACTTATATATAAATTTCAGATCATTTTCCTGTTTTTTAATAAAAGTCTAAATATAAACTGTTTAATGTCTGAGTCTTTTGGCTTTTATAAGCCATTATAAAAAGTTTTTGTTTTTGTGCTATGCTAGTTTCATAGTTTTTCAAATATGGTGTCCTCACATCACATCATTTTTTTTAAAGTATTGCATCTTCACATGTGAGTTCATGGTTCTTTTTATGAAATACAGTTAGTATTGTTTATCTTTAACTTAATGACATTTATTGATGTTAGGTATTTTTTTTATACTTGTAGTATTTGTAGTTTGTTTTCTTTTTTACAATTTATGTGATATAGTATTTTTGAATTATTGGTAAGGATTTGTCAGATTTCTTGTGTTTTGTTTGGTAATATGTGATTTAAGTGAACTATTATCAGATAAATGGCAAATTAATCAGTGTGATAATGTAGTGGTTGTGTAAACAATGTATGTGTTGATTGCATTATTATTAGAGACATTCTTTAA